TAATTAGAAGTTGTTTACCCTGTCAGATGGTACAAAATAATGAGCCCAAAAACAATGCGCATTGTTGGAAACTTTGGCAACGTATACACTTAGATTTTGCTTGACCTTTCATGGGAAAATATTTCCTAATAATTAAGGACACTTACTCAAAATGGCTAGAAATTTTTATTACTAAAACTATGACATCGGCAGGAACAATTCCGATACTCAGAAGTACATTTGCACGTTTTATAATGTTATAATGGTGACTGATAATGCTCCTACTTTTACATCTTAAGAATTCGCAATTTTCGTTAAAATTAATGGATTAAGCATAAATTTTCAGCACCGTATTATCCATCAACCAATGGACAAGAAGAACGATACGTTCAATCAATGAAAAAGGCGCTAAAAAGATGGCTCTAGAAAAAGGAAGCATGTATATTGATTTTTAATTAGAAAACTTTTTAATGCAATACCGTAAAATGGAACATTCAACCACGTAAGTATCACCAGCGTTATTAGATTTAAAGAGAGAAATTAGAACTAAATTAGATTTGATCAAACCAATGCCAAAACTAGAAATAAATTTACAAGATGCAATTACGCACAAAACATTTTCGGCAGGAGAACCAGTACGATTTAGTAACTATAATAAATCGAATATGTGGAAATTTGGGAAGATTAATAAAAAAGATGGTATTTTACACTATTTAATCAACGCAAATGGCATAATTTTTCGAAGACACGTGGAACAAATTGCCAAAACTGAGGTATCACAATTTTTTTGTGATTATGACCAAGAAGTATCCTTGATTGACAATTTTGATGACGAAAATAATATCCAAGCTAGCGGATCTACTGTTATTTCGGAAAATAAGACAGTATTACCCATCTTTAGTAATCCAAGATAATAAAAGCGACACTGATGAGGAAACTCATCCTGAAAGAGACGAGTGGTTATCTAATCTTGATACAGAAAGAAGAACAGACGAATATGTACGAAGCAGTGGTAACGATATAGTACCAGGACAAAGAAGAAGCACACGAATTAGAAAATCAGTTAGCCTATTTAGTTATAATTAAGTGGGGAGAATTGTTATGTTTCTTAGTTCCTAATAAGATGGTATGTTATTTATTTTAGTAGTTTGGTTTCAGGCCAATTTATAAACTTGCAGTTGCAGTTACCGCTCGCAGTTGCAGTTACCGCTCGCAGTTGCAGTTACCGCTCGCAGTTGCAGTTCCCGTTGAAAGTTAAGTTACTTTCACATTTCCGCATTTATATTTTATGTTGCTGTTATACACGACGTTTCTTGACGTTCAAACATAACAAAGTTTTAAGTTTTGCAGTTCACCGTTCGTGCCGTTCGCATATTAACCAATAAAAAGCCTGGACTTTCGAAAAACACAAAAGTATTCCAAGATTATCTACATAGATAACTTCATTCATTTTTCTCAATTAAAAACGGCACTTAATGAAAACTCAAAACGAAAATCGTCAGATTTTTCCTCTTTTCATCTTACTTTGATTTATTTTGGCTTACTCGATTAAATTATCTACCCATCACATAATGGCGCCAAACGTCAGCTTTATAAATTATGAATATCAACGGCAACTGTAACGTCAAACAGAAACAGGAACGCGAACGGTAACGGCGACGGAAACTGCAAGTTTATAAATAGACCTTTCACCCTTTATATTTATTATTTCATTGTTATGTCACTATGACAGACTGGGGAATTTTGTCAACGTTTGTTATATATTTTTCATAGTTCAAAATAAAGAATTAGAAAGTACAGAGATATTTTTTAGGGTCTATTAAGTTTTTCATTGCTATATCCACTTTTTTAACACGATCAATGCATTTTCTCCAACGTTCTCCATTTACATCTGAAAATGCCATTAAAAATAAATTTCGCACATCAGGTAATTTAAATGTTGTATTGTTTCGAGAATCATAACCTTTTAATTGTGACCAGATCAGTTCAATGTAATTTAATTCTGCGTGGTAAGGAGGCAATCTCATAATTTCAATTTCTTTTTCTGCGGTCATCTCGTCTATAATATATTTTTTAAATTTGTTTTTATGTTGCCTTGCTATTACGAGCAATTCTGCCTTCAAGAATTTGGGACTAATAATATTTTTAAAGAAAAGCCTATAATCGACTGTGATAGGATGCATTATCCAAAACAATAACGGAGTTAGCTGGAATTTTTTTATAATGTTCTGAAATCAATTTTCAAACATAAGGCCAATCATTCATGATAGTCTTTTGTTTTATTTGACTTGAACATTAATAAACCATCTAACAAAAATCCATCGGTGCTTCCAATGTGTGTTATAATTAAACGATTTTCTTATCCTGTTGGATTTTTTAATCCACAAGAGACTTTTATAAAGGCTTGTTTTTAGTTTTGATTAAGGTATCTTGCGAAATTTGTGTTACTGTATGTCCAGCATTAATCCATGTTTCATCTAAATAAAATACCTGTTTATGCTGATTCCTTGCGTCTGGTATTTTCCTTAAATAATCTCCACGTAATAAGTTCGTCTCTCTCTGTTAAGAAGCTGTTCTTGTCACGTTTTTTGTAACGAAAATTTAATTCATGTAATATATTTGTAGATGAAAATGATATTTGGAAGAGTGGAACTATTTTCTATTTCTGAGTGTATCTTTTTAACTGTAGGAATTTAATTTCGAAAGAAAAAAGAATGTACCATTTGCCTTATTACATTCTTTACCCAAGTATCAATTAAGGTCTTGTTTTTTCCTGGGGGATTTTTCGGATGTGAGATTTCTAGTGTTATACATTGTCCGCCTACATACTCAAGTATTATATGTTTCACATTTAGTGGCTATTTCATCCACAGAAAGTGAAACAAAGTCTTCTCGAAGATTATTAAATACATGAAGGGCGATATTTTTTTCTTCTAAAGATAATTCTTTATGTCCACTAGGTCCTTTACGCGCACTTGTGGTTGCAATATGTTCTAATGCACTCGCCATTCTTATATAACTGTAAAATTATATTATATACTAAAACAAAATTCCGAATCAATTAATACACACACGATACGGCTATGAATAAATAAAGTCTGACTTATCTGTCAAAAGAAAAGATTTATTATAGTAAAAATCATGGAAACATGATTAAAAATTATAGAAACAGGATTAAATCTAAACGAAAACTTTTATTAGGTCGATCAGATGTATTAAAATTTTTATTTTAACTACAAATAAGCATTGAAGGGTGACGTATAAATAAAATGTCTACCTCTTGAACCTGTACTACGTTCTGCAAATTAAATTACTGCACTTCTTTTTTCTCTAGACTATAAGAGATGAATATGACCTGGCGAACTTTTGTTAAGTCTTTCACTGGTCCTCTCTGAAATGATAGTAAGATACGTACAACGTGTTCTACGAACAACGTTTTTTATTGTGTAGAAAAGGATTAGGTGGGTTCAAATCCCACGCGGATAGAATTATTCAATTTTTTATGAATTTTTTTTCTTCTTGGGGATTAAAAAATAATTTTCATTATTTCGTAGGGGTAATATTGGGATTTGTTTGAGGATTTAATGGGAATTTAGTTTCTTTATATTTTTCGGATATTAAACTGATCAGTTTCCGGAACTTTGAGACCGATTCTCTCAAAAAGAAGAGTTTTTACAAAGGTAAAAATTGTCAGTGGCGTTACATTAAAAATTAAAAATCTTACAATTAGCTAATTAAATTAAAATAAACAATTGATAAATCTTTTATATCTGTATAATTATTTACAGATTTATTTTTTTTAATGTGTATTATCTCCAGTATTGTTTTTTTATTATAATTTGAATGTGAAATTAGAATCTGTGCAGTTAATTTTATATATATTCACGTCATATAAAATTGCACTCTTTCAATTTAAAAATGTAAGAATTATCGAAAATCAACCTAATTATAATAAAAGAACAATTATGGAAAAATTTTACACATTAAAAAAATAACTCTAGAAATAACAAAACAAACAAAAGATTTAACAAATGTTTATTTCAATCTGTAAGTATTTTTAATTTTTAATGTAACGCCACTGATAATTTTTATCTCCTTTTTTTGTTTCCTAATAGTTTTGCTAAACCAAATTATATTTCAAATTAATATGACGAAAAACAAAAAAATGGGGGTTCGCTGGTTTTAAAAGTTTAAATTGATTATTTGTCCCTTAATGTTTTTTAAAAAAAAAATTGTTTTTGACTGCACCGCATGGCAATAAATTCTAAACATATGTAGTAGTGGTCCTTATTAAAACAGGAACCGATAATACAAACAAACTTGAATTTATTTGTATAAAATTCTACCAATGACAGGAAATTACCTTTGTTCTGTATTTATTGTATATATATAGATATTTTTTATTTTGCTATTTGTCCATCTTTTAGTTTCTTCTATATTGTTATATAAAATTCCTGTGTGATATTGATTTAAATAAAAATTGGCGCTACTGTTCTATTAAGTAAGAAACGTTATTAAAGTCAAAGTGGTAGTACTGTGATTTCTTATATCATAACCGTCCTGCTACCAATTTTTTTTTTAATTATTCTTATTAACTAAATAAAAACCTACCATTTCCTTCCTATTGGATGTCTAATTTCATTGTGATATTATGTAATATTTTAAACAAACTTTGATATTAAAATAAATATCAGAAATCACCTACTACAGTACTATCCGGCTGAAATTAATTATTTTACTTCAATAATAAAAATACGTTTAAACTGGCTCCGACTTTTACCCCAAACGAGAGAAAGTCTGCACCATTCCAGCTCGCTTGATTCCACCACCAGATCTAAAACGCTGCTCGGAGTTGTGGATCTGAATAGTAGGCAAGCTGTTGTTACACCTCTGCTACTAGTAGGCTAGCCCGCACTGTTCTTACCTCTGTCTTCTCAATAGTATTTATAATTCTATACCATTTTCCTGGAGTTAATGTAAGAAAGTTAACCTATCTGCTATATATATTTTTTTTACATTTCAGCTTAAGTACACAGTTTTCAAACATGAATACGATTGCGTTGTGGTCGGAGCAGGGGGAGCAGGATTGAGAGCTGCATATGGTTTGGTAGAACACGGATTTAAAACTGCTTGTATCACTAAAATTTTTCCAACAAGATCTCATACTGTGGCGGCACAAGGAGGAATCAATGCGGCTTTAAGTAAGTTTAAAAATCAGAAATAAAATAATATTAATAAATTGAGGTAAAAACCATCTTTAATATTTAACTTAATATTTTAAATAATGGGCTTGGTGACGAGTTAAAAGGAAGTGATTGTGTCCCTGGATGATGCAAAATGAGTCCAATAAGGTTTAAGTATAAGAGCTGCGCCCTTTCTTCACTTTTCAAGATTTTGACCATTTTCTTGGGTTTAATCAAATTTTAACTTCAGAATAAATAAAGATAGATTATGGGAACTGTCTAAATGCTAGATACCTCGAAATTCCCTTTTACCTGCGCATTTATTTCTATACTCGAACAAAATATTGCAGAAGGTGAGTCATATGCATGATCAACACTGTTGTCTATGAATGAAAATTTCGACAGAGTTAGCATAGGCGGCGTATCAAATACCAAATAATTATTTATTATTTATTAGGTATTTGTTAGTAAACTTTATTAAATTTGTTTGTCAACATTTTTATTTAAACAAAGATGATGCGTTAAATATACGTTTTTAATAGTTTTCAAGAAATAAATACATTTATTCCCTAATGACTTCGTTATCTGTGTTTAATGGTTTAAAAATGTGTTTCAAGTAAATAAACGTTAGACGGGTTACAGATTAAATATTGTCAGCACAGGCACAAAGACAGTTAAAAGCTTACTTTCGAGGAAGTTAGATTTTTATCGCTTTACCTATTTACGATAATTGTTTTATATTTTATAAACACTTTTTTGTATAAGTGCTCTTTTCTGATATACGAGTAGGTGTTCATGTTTGTGCCTTACCATTTGGTAGTGGTAGTGCATATTCGAGGAGTTATATTTATTGTGTAGTATATTAGGTAGGTACTTTAAAAGTTTATTAAATAGTAAAATATTGGTGTCTTTATAAATTTATTAAAAACAATTTAATAGTATAATTATATTGTTACAATAGTAATGGATTCAGAGGCGGGTCCAAGTGAAACCCAATTCGTCTGCGAAAGCCCTTATCAAAGGATGATAGGATGATAGGATGATAAGAATATTATATGGAAAGTGTATCATGGGCTGAAACAGATACTTCCTACAAATGAAGCTGTAAACTGCAGTTCTTTTTTAACTGGAGTATCTGTTTCAATAATTAAACGTATTGTAAGCGAAAAGACAGAAAAGGCTCCTTAGAAGCCCCTAAAACGCATACCCGTGGTCGAAAATTGTTGAAATTGGACGATAACCAACAACAAATCATTCGAAGAACTGTACATTCTCTTTTTTTTTTTTTTTAGAAAACAAAGCCCTAACACTTAAAGTTGTTCTTACGAAATTAAGAGAAAACGAAGAAATTTCATTAATGAGCCGTGAAACTTCACGAAAAATTTTATGGAGCCTAAAATTTCGTTTTGTCAAACGGTGTAGGAAATTAATTTTAATTAAGAGGTCAGATATAGTATCCTGGCGACGGCGTTATTTACGAAATATTAAAGAGTTTAGAGCCGCTAAAAAAAGATATACTATCTCGATGAAACGTGGGTGAATGCTGGACACACGGTATCTAAGATATGCCAAGATACTTCTGTAATTAGTCATCGCCAAGCTTTTATAGAGGGATTATCTACAGGTTTGAAAGCACCATCAGGTAAAGGACAGCGGCTAATTGTTACCCATATCGGAAGTGACAGTGGATTTTTGAAAAATAGCGCTCTTGTGTTTATATCGAAAAAAACAGGAGACTACCACGAGTACATGAATGCGGAATGCTTTGAAAAATGGTTTACGGAAGTATTACAGCGTGTAGAACGAAATTCAGTTATTGTACTAGATAACGCTTCTTATCACAGTCGACGAGTTGAACGCATTACGATAATGTCCAGTAGGAAAGCGGATATGCAAACCTGGCTGCAAGATAAATCAATATCATTTACTGAGGAGATGCTTAAAGTGGAATTAATGGACCTAATAAAGGAATATCGCTATAAATATATTCAATATGTTGTCGACACAATGGCTTGTGATCGTGGAATTATGGTATTAAAACTTCTCATTTATCACTGCGAATTCAATCCTATTGAACTAATTATAAATATAGATGAATTATTATAACAAAAATAGATAACCAACCTACTTTCCTCTAGTAATATTCACAAATACCCATTTAATTTGCCAATATAGTATTTGTGCGACACTGGAAGAGTGCATTTTGATATGATAACGATACCTTTTGCAGTTTTAAGGCGCACCTTCTTCAATATTTTGTTCTAGTATAATACCCCATTTAATTTTCCAATAGTGTTTCTACGCCACTGGCATAATATTTACATATTTTAACAAGAAACAAAACAAAATTATAAACCTACTTTCATATAATATTATTATTACCGCATTTAATTTGCCAATAGTTTTTATACGCCACTGGTGTAATTCGTTTTGGCAATAAACATGCATTTATGACTAGTTGGCACGTAATTCTGATAACTTCTGCAGTTTTAAGCGCGTGATTCCATTCATTATGCTCTGGTATAGTATGATGCAGACAAAAGATAGAAATAAAAGATACCCTAATTAAACTCTTCGCCAACCAAAGGAATGAAAATTCATTAACAAGAGATTTAAATAATCTACATCAAGGTCCCAACGAGAACCAGCAGCAATTATATGTGAAAGTAATGGAACTTCTAAGCACCATAACAAATTACATAGAACTGTATAAATCAATTGAAGCCATCAAGCACAGTAAGAAAATTTTTTTCCAACAACAAGCTCTTACAACGTTCCTAGGAGAACTCCAAGAAGCATTGGGATCCACAATAAGAGCCATGCGACCAACATAACTTGCCCTAGCCATACAGTATATATAAGAAAAACATAATGTAAGGTACCTACAAAAGGGATTAGGCCCTTTTTCATCTACTACCATCAAGCCTCAAAATGCCAACCCTCTAAGGAAACTACAAAACTCACCGATGACTAGTTTTATGCATTCACAATGACAACAACCCATCTCAAGACCACAACCGTTACCACAATTCAAAGCCCCGCAGTTCCAACAGTAATAGCAACAACAACGGAGACCATTTTTCCAACAACCAAGATTTCAAGGAAACCAGCAATTTACGAGGCCATTCCAACAAAACTCAATGAACATACCAACTCGCATGAGTTTTAGTACCAGGGTTACCAGCCAAAATAGGGCTCCAAACCAAGGCAACTACATTAGGTCCCAAGGTCCACCTAGATTTACTTCTGAAGAACTGTTCAACATTGAACAAACCAATGAAGCTTTTGGTTACGACGCAAATGCGTACACACTCGGCGCAAACCTGGATCGCAACCAACCCGACTATATGGAAGCACAAGAGGAAAAAGAAATCCTACGATACGAAATTGAAAATTTTCCCGAAATTCCAGGAAGAAACACCGAGACAAGGTTGAACCAAATAAAACATCATATCCGAACTATAGATGAGCCTCCTGTCTATACGAAATCCTATAGATATTCACATATCCACAAGAAGGAAGTCAATAAATAGATATAATCCATGCTGGACCAAAGAATCATCAGATCTAGCCAATCTCAATGGTGTTCGCCAAAAAACTCGAAAGATCAAGAGGCGTATCGTCGTCGATTACTGAAAGATTAACGAAAAACCATTGATGATAAATATCTGATCCCGAATAAACCAGATATCTTAGACAAACTTGGACGATATCACTATTTCTCAACTCTTGATCTAGCGAGTGGTTTTCATTAAATTAAAATGGCGAAGGAAGATGTGCAGAAATCAGCCTTTAACGTCGAGAACCGTCATTTCGAATACGTCTTAATCCTATTTGGACTTAAGAATGCTCCTGCAACCTTCAAGCGAGTTAATGGATAACATTCTTAAAGGTCTTCAAGGAGAAATGTGACTGGAATACATGGACGGTATAATAGTCTTCACTGCATGAACACATCGTAAACCTTTCGAGAATACTCCAACGACTACGAGAAACTGGGTTCAAAGTCCAAGTAGATAAATGTAAATTCTTGAAGAAAAAAGTTGACTTTTTAGGACACGTCATTACTCCAGATGGAATAAAACCCAACCCAAACAAAATCAAGGCCATAATAGACTACCCCGTACCAAAGATAGAAAAAGATATTAGAGGCTTCCTAGGATTGATGGAATACTACCAAACCACTGACGTTATGCCTTAAGAAAGATGCTAAGATCCAGCATACACCAGAGTTTTTGGAATGCGTAAATACCTGTAAGAACCTTCTTACAAATGAACCTCTACTACAATTTTCAGACTTCTTTATACCATTCAATTTGACAACGGATGAAAGCAACCTTGCAATTGGTGCTGTTCTATCACAAGGTCCCGTCAGTAATGACAAATCCATTGCCTATGCCTTCAGGACATTGAACGATACAGAATTTAAATATTTAACAATTGAAAAGGAAATGATGGCTATCGTAAGTGCTACGAAGTACTTCCATCCATACCTGTTTGGAAGAAAATTCAAGATTCTATTACTGCCCTCTCCAATGGCTCTTCTCCTTGCAAAATCTGAACTCTTAGCCCTTAAGGTGGCGTCTTAAATTGGAAAAATTCGATTAGGAAGTAATCTATAAAGAGGGCAAATTCAACACGAACGCAGAAGCTTTATCAACAATAGAGATAAATAGATATAAATAGATAAATAGAGATAAACTCTACTATCCTGGAACATCTAAGGATAATTAGAGAAACGCAGAAAATTAAAGAACGAATGGTTACAACAATTCCATATATTCTGGGACACAACTGAAACCCATAGACTTTCTAAATGGTTACTTAGAAGCAAAAGATCCATTTTAAATCGATATTAAAAGAACTCTACTAGATAACTACACTCAAGGCCATAGGGAGAAAACGAAAGAAATATATAAAGATATAAAAAGAAAAATTCAAGATCTTAAACTATCGAAAGAAGAAACGAAAAGTGAGGTTGCAATGACATATAAACCCTTTTACAAAATATACTCAAAAATAGTAAGAAGAAATAAATATCCAAGATATTCCCCTAAAATCATCAAATCCAACAATCCTGTTACAATTGAACCCCAAAAAGCAACCATTCATAAAATAAATATTAAACATAATCTGGATAAAGGAAATTTATTCCAGATGTACCTTCGATATGGGACCAGAAGTCCAAATCCAGCACCAGGAAAACTCAATCAAGATATGGAACATACGAAACAACCACTGCTGGATGAATCCAATCTGCGATTCTCGGATTCTTTTTAGATACACACTAAGCAAGAAGAAATCAAAACAGAGGAAGCCGTGTCCAAAGTTTTGATCATCCTTCACAAAACTTCTTAGAGGGATAGAGAAGTTACGAATAGATGAACCCATATCCGTCACCAAAAATTTGCAATTTAAATACTTAAGGTTACTACACTTGATTGTCCCAAAATTGCGATTCTGAAATTATGCATTTTCATAATATAATTTATAAATGTTAAGCAGCATATATTTTAATATATATATTCAGGTATTCAGGTAAATTAATAAATACGAAGATTAACAATCATAAATAATATGTGTTATGAATTGACTAATGACATCAAAACATTCATAAGTATCTGGTTCAGATGTTAAGTGCGGATTACCATACCTATCTACGTACCTGCTGACCGGAAATCACTCATCCTCATTTGCAATCAAAAATAACTTTGAATACTTACTAATCATAGGCGTCACAGATACATCTAGAAATCAATCATGTTAATAAATATGTTGTAGTTCTGAAAAGAACTGATTTTGTTTTAGTAATTTTATATTCTCCTTATGTGACTCAAATGGTAATTATATTTGACAGCATATGGAGTGCTGCCCCTATATTGTTATTAATAGACAATTTTGCAACAATCCTATTTATGCGCCTATCAACTTGCACGTATTTTGGAGGTCGTTTCTTCGGAGATATGTTGTTTTCGATCCTCATTTGAACAGTATCGTAGTAATCTAAATAATTTCTCAACGAATTTATTAGCTCCCCGTAATATTATACATTGAATTCTTATTTTATTTAATTATTATTATTATTTAATTTATAATTGAATAATAAGAAAATCAATTGACCCGGTTATTTTCGGAAATAAAATTAAAAATAAATTACTAAAACAAAATCAGTTCTTTTCAAAATTACAACATATTTATTATGTGATAGAATCTCGTGGTCGGTAGTGGGATATAAAAAAATAAGTAAACCCTGCGTGGGCGGTAGTGGCATTCGATCAGGTAGTTTTTGGTCGCGGTCGGTAATGGGACGGTCTGTAATGGCACTATACCGAATTTGAGTGTGATGTTATTAAATGCATCTACATCTATATTATCTAATCATATTAATTTTTCATTAGGTCACACTGAGGATGACTGTTGGCGGTGGCATAATTATGATACTGTTAAGGGTTCTGATTGGCTCGGTGATCAAGACGCCATTCATTTTATGACCAAAGATGCACCAAGAGCTGTTTTGGAGCTTGAAAATATTGGATTGCCGTTTTCACGAAACAAAGACGGCCGAATTTATCAAAGAGCTTTTGGTGGCCAGTCTTTAAAATATGGAGAAGGAGGCCAAGCTCATAGGTAATACAAGTTTTTAATTATCTTTATGTTAAAATCGAGTGAAGCGTTTTAACTGAAACTTTCAAATTTTTAACTAGAACAATTATTAAGTAAATAGGCCTCAAATAGGTCATGGTAATTTCTAAATTAAAGTTAATTTCAGAAACTGTGTAGCTGCCACATTCAAAATTTTTTTACTGCAAATTTTGTTTCTGGAACATTTAAACAATTTATCTGAAAAGTTCAAATAAGTAGTTATTCTAATTATCTAGCATGTGTAATTCAGCAAAAATATTTACCTAAAATGGTTACTCTGTGTTTGTACTACTGTTATCTTTTTATATTTTTTATGTAGTCTAGTATGTAGTATATAGACAGTACTAGAAAATAACGAAATTGTAGTTTTTTAATTAAATCTAAGCCACAGATCATGAAAATAATAAAATTAAAATATACATACCTCTTCAAATAATTTCATATATTATTCATCAAACTCCAAGTATGTACCATTATTTCACACCCTCATGGTACATAAATAGCTATCCTACTTCTATTACACAAAACTTGGAGTTGTCTCCATAGAATGCGTTGTCTCTGACTGTGGTGATGACGCTGCTTTTTAAATAATTAGCACGGAACAAATCGGTTTTTAATGCGATTAATCACGAATGTCGAATGTTTGAGCTATGTTGTTTAAAACAGATGCAAAAGACAGCTGGATTGTGTTTTTTGTTAGATAATTTTTTCTAAACACTCTTTGATTTTGTTAAACTTTTTTTAAAATTAGTTATACGTAGTTTAGTTGACTAGAATAGAAATATTGTTCATCTTAAAGTGAAATAACTATTTAGCTGAGGCTATTTTTCAGTGAACAAGGTTAGAGATTTGTAAACTAGATATAGATAAATCGATAGAGTAACTGAATTCATATCTTTTTGTTAAATTTTTCAGGACTGCCGCTGCAGCAGATGCAACTGGTCATTATATGTTACATGCGCTTTATGGACAAGCTGTAAAATACAACTGCAAGTTTTTCGTTGAATATTTTGTATTGGATCTTTTAATGAAAGATAAAAAATGTTATGGAGTGTTGGCTTGGAATTTGGAAATGGGAACTTTACACAGGTAAGTAATTACTTTTTTGATTAAAAATTTAAGTTTTAGATATAAGGCGGGTCTTAAAGAACTTTAACTTCAGTCGCCTATAGTAGTCCTTTGTACACTTGTAACGTGATACTTGTTATTTTATCTATTTGTTATAGTATTTTAAGCTCAACTGATTTTGAGAGAGTGGGTCAGGTTGTTAAATAACTCGAATTAATATGAAAAGGAAAAATCTTATTTAACATATTTAAGAATAGTATAGCTTCCAAACAAAATAATATATAATATTATATAAAACGTGTTATCCATGTGTTATTCATGTGTTGCGGTTATGTACAATATTTGACATTTTAACAAAGAAATCTTTATACAAAATGTATATTTTCAACAATATATCGGTATTAAAGCTTACCTTATAAAATCAGACATCCAATAAGAATATTAAAAGACAATTAGTACATCGGATGTCCAAGATAATTTAAAATTTAAATTAACTTGATTCGTTGACAGATATAAATCGAATGAAATAGGAACTTTTGACGCAAGGCATAAACGACAAATGACATTTGAGTAGAGAAGTTTGTGTTAAAATAACGAAAACGGTTCCAACCGTTACGCACTTTCGTTGCCCATGACGTTAATTAACGTCATGATAGTTCTTTCCCCAATGCCCATGACGTTTTTTAACGTAATGTAGATAAGCCGCCTTGCAGTGAATTGCCTTTATAATTCCGTAGGCATGTAAAAGTGTCATTAAATTAGTGTATTATGAAATCGGTTTTGATAATGTGTTTTTGTGAATTTAAATAGCAAGGTTTTAACAAGTTCTAATTAAAATTTATTTATTTATTTATTTATTTATTTATTTATAATACAATACTCTATAGGTCATAAACCCAATTACAGAGCAGGAATTGACAGAATATAATTATTAATAGATCACATTTTTTATATGAATGTTAAGCACATAAAAAGAACTTGTATTTCGTAATAGGTAACAAATTAACTAAGATAAAAAGTGAGATTTTATATCTGACAAATTGCAACTAAATATATCAAGTTCATTGACAATAGAATTTGTTACTGTACACATGGTATGGAGCGGAGAATTTTCCAGAACATTTGTGCGAGATGTATTTATATAAAAAGTATTCGGGTGTCTGGAAGAAATTCTGGGAATGCAAATATTAAACTTTTCTAATAAGGTTGGGCAATCAATAATACTATTAATAATTTTATAAGTTACTACTACACTATAATAATCACGCCTTCTATCGAGACTGAAAAAGTTATGCTTTTGTAGTAATTCAGAGTGAGGTGTACCTATTAGAGGATAAATGCCGTCAGTTTTCAGGCTTAGCAGTTTTAAAAATCGTCTTTGAATTGCTTCTATTCGATCTATATGATACTGATAAAAGGGGCTCCACACAACTGAAGCATATTCTAACTTTGATCTTATAAAAGCATAAAATAGAGTTTATAAGGTAGAGGTTTCTTTGAAATCACTACTGCTACGTGCAATTAATCCGTACATTCGATAGGAGGAGGATACAACATTATCAATATGCTTATTAAATGATAGTGATAGTGCGGTATAGACACGCAAAAAAGTCTTGAACAAAAGTTATATGGACATGAAAAACACATAATACAAAAATATTTTTGAATATACAGGTTGTTACACTTTTGTCTGGAAAGTAAAAATATATTATAGTGTTTAAATGGAACACTGTATTTTATCTCAGTTTTAAAATGGTCAGGCAATACTGTATTGAACCCTAGAATATTTTTAAAAAGTATCACAGTGTTGCCAAGCTAATTTTAAGTTCAGTAAAACTAAATGTCATAAATCTTGGACAACTAAAGGAATAAGAACATCATCTAAAAATATGAGGTCACTCATGTATATTAAAAAGTACACAGATAATCCCCTAATATTAAACTATATCAACAACTACAGAATATTGTATCGGAAAATCACCAAATCTGCTAAGAAAAACTATTACAAAAATCGCATCGCAAGAGCTAAAAACTCCTCCAAAGAAACCTGGTCTATAATAAATGACTTAAGGAATAAAACCCGTTCTTCAAACAGTGTAAATCCTAGCCCAGATGAACTAAACAATTATTTCGTAAATGTAAGTAAAAATATCAAATCTAACATAGCTCCGAGTCAGGATGCTCTCTCCTTCCTCCTACCTACTAAAAGGATCACTGAAAGTTTCTTCCTAAGACCAGTAGACAAGCATGAACTAGTGCAAACCATAAACAACATCCAAAATAAATTTTACTGTGGAATTGATGGCCTGTCCACCAAAATATTTCTAAAGATACCGGATGTAGTAATCAACATTTTAACTTCACTGATTAATGAATCCTTTGAAATTGGTCTCTTTCCTAACTGTCTAAAAACAGCTATAATAATCCCACTTAATAAAGGTGGCGACAAAACCAAAACCTGTAACTATAGACCTATCGCGTTATTGCGTACCTTATCGAAGATAGTAGAACGGCTAATGAAAAACCGTCTTTTGCCCTTTCTTTTCAAGCATAACATCCTCACAGCTCATCAGTATGGCTTTCTACCTAAAAAATGCACTAGCGACGCAATGTTTTCCGTTCTTAATGAAATATACACATCACTTAATGATAAACTTTTCACCGCTTCAGTATTTTGTGACTTCGCAAAGGCCTTCGATTGTGTAAATCATGATATTTTAATTAATAAGTTACAAATTTATGGCATACGGGGTTCTCCTTTACAATGGTTTAAAACTTACCTAGAAAATAGAAATCAACAGGTGCGGGCGAATGGTGAGGATTCTACAAATCTAGCAATAAGCAGTGGAGTACCTCAAGGATCAGTATTAGGTCCAATTTTGTTTTTATTATTCATCAACGACATCACAGACTTAAGAATAAGTGGTAGAATTACTTTATTTGCTGATGATACCAGTGTAACCTGGAATAATTCTAACATGCAGACATAACAATCTATCATAAGTGAAGATCTAGTGACTATTAAGTCCTGGTCTGATTCGAATGGACTTTGTTTCAACACCAGTAAAACTGTAGCATTGTCTTACAGAGGTACTTTACAACCTATAACTTTAAACAATAATCTGATCCAAACGGTGACTTCAATCAAGTTTTTAGGTCTTTATATAGACGATTCTCTAAAATGGTCTGCTTATATAGATACCTTAGCAAAAAAAATTATCCTCCGCATGTTTTGCCATTAAATCGGTTTCTACAGAGCTGACTCCTTCTACTGCATTAATAACCTACTTTTCCTTATTCGAATCTCACCTTCGCTATGGTTTACCTTTCTGGGGTTCTTGTAGCTTATACCTTTTCGAATCTATTTTTAAACTGCAAAAAAGAGCAATCCGCTATGTATTTGGTTTAAGTAGTAGGACACATTGCGAAAATTACTTCAAAAATTTCAAAATTCTAACCCTTCCTGCTCTATTTATTTTCGAATCCGTCTGCTTAGTTCGCAAGCACATTCAAAATTTATCCAAAAGACCGACTCGTAGATATCCTACAAGAAATTTAGAGACTGATGTTTATTTAACAATGCCCACTTCTGACCTATTAAAACATTCCATTACCTACAATGCCAAAAAATTGTATAATAACCTTCCGACGCAATTAAAATCTATAAATACATACGATAAGTTCCGAAGACTGGCTAAAGCTTTTCTTCTAGAAAGACCATATTACACAGTAGCAGAATTTTATAACGTACCTTAGACATTTGAGTTCCACATACAATGGCATTAATTAAATAATTAAATATTAAAGTTTAAATTTAAATTTAAATTTAAATTTAAATTTAAATTTAAATTTAAATTTAAATTTAAATTTAAATTTAAATTTAAATTTAAAAATTAAATTAGAATAATTATAATGACGGATATTGCATATCCATTGCAATTGTTATTCCTATTTTGTCTGTTTGTTTCTGTTTGTTTTTTCTGCTGTTTAGTTATTTTTATAATATGTTTAGTATTTAAGTTACACGCTTTGTCTATAAAATTTTTGTAAATTTTTTTACGACAATAAAGCATATCTCTCTCTCTCTATTCACATGGATCAAAAATATTATCCTCTACAAGGTGAGTCGCGAATAAATAAGGAGATATTTTTGATAATTACATTTAATGTTGTATAAGCTGAAAATATTTATTAAAAAATAATTTATGTGTACATTTACCATTTTTAATAATAAATAACTGCAGGGTGATTAGTTAGGACCAAGTTGGAATATGCTTCTCTAATTTGGTATGGAGAGTATCAATATTCAATGAAAGAAGTTGAAAAGGTCCAAAACAAACTACTTAGATATTTGTACTACAAAACACACCATGTTAGACCAGATTATAATACAATAAGGTCAACTCAGTTGAGAAGAGAGTTTAAAATTATATCGTTGGACAGCAGGCGTTGCCTAAACTCGATGATGTTTCTCTATAATACGCTTAATAATAATATAAATGCACCTGATATATTATCCTTAATACAATTTAACGTTCCACCACGTAGAATGCGATCATCAGCTATGTTTAATATTCCCTTTACTACAACCAGAGCTCCTCTCGTAGCCATGTTGAGACTAGCCAACCAGTTTAATGTGTGTATGGATTTGGACTGGACAGTGACTAAGAGAATTTTCCGTCGAATAATTCTAGATCACATAGTAAACATCTCTGTATAGGAATAGTTATTTTATTAAAGTTGATTTATTAGAATTAATTTATTAAAAGTCATTTATTAAAATTAATTTATTACAGTGTTTTAAAATTTGGTCCCCTACAATTTTATAAAACTTACATATATTTCAATGTTTTTTGTCTATTTTTGGTATTTTCTCTCATCAGTGAGAGCTTAATAATGATACATTTGTATTTTAAATTTTATTTTTATCCATGTAATTAAACCTTTTTGGTTTGTATGGAAAAAAGATCAATAAATAAATAAATAAATAAATAAATAAATCTACCTAGAGAAATGAAGAA